AGTGGAAGGTGTCCGTGCCTGTGGCAGGGTGTTGGAACTGGGTGAGTTTTAAGGTCCCTTCCACCCCAAGCCATTCTAGGATTCTATGATCCTATTCCCAGTTTACAAGGCACATGCAAAGGTGAAGCAGAGCAGCAGGGAGCAAGTAGAAAGCACATCTAACTTTCACCCAGAACCCCCCAAATCATGACTTGCTTAATTACCAGGAATTAATGTAGACTCTGGAGAAGGCTGTGATACCACAAGGCAGCTCAGTGAGTCACAGTATGCCATTACTCTGCAGTTCCCAGACTGAGACACCATGAAAACCTTTTCCAAGTGGTACTTGCACTGGCTTTGGCTGGAGGGCAGGATGCCTGGAAGGCGTGTACGGGAGCTGCCAGGCTTCTCAGAAGCACCTGCATTGTGCTGGGCCATCAGAGCCCTCAGCTCCTGCAAAGGGAAACACCCAAAAGCTTTAATGCGCCATGGACAATGGAACAGTCTGTGTTGTCTATTCCAGATGCTCCAACTCTTGTTCTCATATGAAGAGGGAGAATATGGTCCCCACTTCCATGCAGTTCCTGAAATGCTGGACTCCCAAGTACACCAACTATTACAGTGAGAAAGAGGCATTTGAATGCTATGCAAGTTCTGGCAGAACATGCCCAAAGTCTTTTATTGTATGTATTAGACCCTGTGAAAGAAAGGACTCTTTGGCAACACATGAAACCCAGTAACAATTATTACCAGATCAGTGCTGTTGAGAAGAGAACACACTGCCAAGTATTACATGCAGCTAAACCACAAGTCAATTAAAACCATTTTCCAGAATTTCCAGAATACCCCATAAAAAACCCAAAAGCCCAAGTTCCAACATAAAGGGTGATGCAGAAAACAAGTCAGTCTTTTTAATGAAGATGACCCTGTTCTTGTAAACCCTGGGCAGCAAATTCCAGGAACAACACAATTCTCAAGAGCTACAGCCCTGTTTTCTGCCACCACTTCCTCCCCCTTCTTCCACGTTGACTGATGAATGCTCAGGGATACTTGGCAGAGACACAGCTAGAACTGCTTCCATCACCAACAACGTACTCCTAGAATTCCTCCTTCCAGATATCATCAGGGGGAGGTGGCTATGTGAGTAGTGGCCCTGGCATATTGTGAGTCAACTAAAAATGCCCCTCCAAAAAAGGATTTTACCAGCTTGTTGTAATCAAGGGCAAACCCAGAGAGCACAGAACCCCAGGGATATTAGAGGGAGTGTATACATTAAGAAAATTGCTGTTTGCTTTCTGTTGTCTGAGCAACACAGATTATGCCTCAAATACTATGTAATCTTTAAACAATTAGGGGCTGCAAGAGTGATATTATGAATATATTAGATTGCAAGCTAGCTTCAATATTGAACCAGCCACTGCCATTTAACTCATGTCTATGCAAAGGCATTAGTTCTCAAAGAGGAAAGATCAAAGCTCAAGTTCTACATTAATAGTTATCATCAAGACCTATAACTTATGGGAACAGCTCAAGAGGAGAGCAACTCTAATATTTGACAGAGGTCTGAGCTCGTTGCATCAAGCTCATTGCAAATTCCACAAGGGAACAAAAATATAATAATTAAAGAAATAAAAATCAAAGCTTAAGAGTCAAGATGATCCCATTAGAGCAAGCAAAGATAAAACAACCCGGGAAAGAAGAAGAAGTGTGGGGGTGGCCAGGATGCTATAGCTTTGGGCTTAGAGTAAGCAGTCTGAAAACACAGGTAACTTAGAAATAATGGGATTATTAGATTTTTGATTAAAAGTCACTTTCTTCTAAAAGGCAGGAGAAGACCACCACCAAGGATCAGAAGAGATTCAAACGTTGTTGCTCTGGGGAGTTTGCAAAACTCTCCTTGTCACCTGCACTCAACATTCAGCTTTTACACAAGTGATTAAAAAGGAAACCAGGCATAATTAAAACCACAAGGACTATTAGTACCATGTTTCCATTTAAACATGATGGCTGAAGCCAGCAGAATCAGGAAGCCTTGCTGGAGACACATTACCAAGGCAATTAAAAATGTTGCCCTACAGAACAAATTCCACTAATTGTGCTCAGAAATACGCTCTTTTGATAATGGAAGCTTACACTTTCCTTGAGGTGCTTTGCAGAGCCTTCCTGGTGTTAAGGAAGGGCCTTCAGGGCACACTTGTGTTTGCAAATGTTATGACTGCCTTCAAAATTTCAGCTTGTACTTGTAGTGATGAATGAACACAGTCACACAGGTTGGGTTAAAAAAGAGAATACGGAGCAGAAGTCTTCCTGAGGAGCATGCAGGACAAGTAGAAGCAGGAGAGCATAATAAACAGGAAAAGAAAACCACCAGCTACAACAAATTCAGAACAGTTTTCTTTGAATATTAGTATTTCATAGCTGATATAAAGCTTAAAGACAAAGGCAGTTACCAGATGATTTTCGCTATCTAGTTGTGCTCCCACTGACCCCATATGCACTGTACAGCCCTAGCCTTCCATTTAAGAGTTAAACACGTGGCTGTACAACCTCAAGCTTAGGAGCAGCACTGCAGGCATTCCACCTTCCTTTGGTTTGGGGGTTCAAATTCACTTAAAGGGAAAGAGAGCATTTTTAATCACCTTCACTGTAAGTAACAGCAAAATGAAATTGTAACTTTTCAAAGAATCAGAATGGTTTGGGTTGGAAGGGTTTAAAGCTCATCCAGTTCCAACTCCCTGCTTGAGCAGGTCCACATTCCTCTTGCGTTTTCACACATTCCTTCCGCAATCCACAGCACTTTATTCTCTCCATTGACCTACAGCTTCGTATGCCAATTAAACGTGTTTTCTTGTGCCACCAGTAACATTGCCTGCTGAAGGAGCAGGGCAACAGACTCAAGATGTAGCAAGGCACGTTCGGACTTATGCAAGGAAAACACTCAACCTTGCAGTGAGGATGGTCAATCAAGACATGCAGAAAGGATGTGCAATCTGCTTGATACACTGAACAACTGTCATGACAGTGCCCTGAGCAAACCAACCCATCACTGAATTCACCTACCTAGAGTTGGTCTGGAAACCTCCAGAGATCTCTTCCAACCTAAATGATTCCATGCAAGTAGCTGCTTTACTAAATGACCTCTGATTGGAAAGAAACTCATTAAGCATACGCTCAAACTATAATCAGACAAGTTAGAGACTTATTCCAGACTTCCTGATGATTTTCTGTTCTCCAGCAAATTGTTTATTCGTAGCATAAACAAGCACCTTAAAATTGCTTCCAGCATTCCCACTAATCACTACAGGACAGTGATGAATGCGGTATAAATACTGAAGCACAGCTTAAAGAACACAGAGGACTTAATTCTGTTAGACTGCATACTTTATCATTTAACACCAAAAGAATTGCAGGAGGACATTCTGGACCTGCAGTTTCATCTTACGCGCATTTTTCCTTAAAGCAAAATTTGAAGAGACCCGATTTTCTTATTAGCTCTGATGAGCATAAAGCATCACACAGGAATTTAGGCAAACTATTTATAAAGCCTTGTCTCACATCACACAGGAAGACTTCACCAAAGAGGATGTTGCTTTTTGTACAGACATGAATAGCCAAAGCCATAAAAAAAAAAAAATCCAGAAGTAGGGAAAAGCACAAAATCGAGTTACTAAACAGTGAGAGATTAGATATCATCTAATTCATAAAACAAAAAGTAGCAAACTTGCGATGAAACAAGCTCTTTGAAAACCTAGCACTGGTGGAACATGACGGAATTCATGGCTGGAAGCACCAGCAGAGTCCACAATTTACAGGAATCCTGCAAAAGCACCTGTGATGGGTTACAAAAATATCACAGTATTACAGAAACCAGAAAGGAAACAGTAATTTAGTTTCAGTGATTTGTACTCTAAGGGGACAGAGGTGCCTCTTCACAGCTGCTCAGTGTATGCACACAGGCCATCCTGTTGACAGACAGGTGCTTAAGTAGAACATTAACTGACCTTCACCAAAAAACCCCAAACTAAACAAACAAAAATATTTAAGAAAAAAATTTTTGTTGTTTTCATGTGGATTTGCATATACCCATACCTAGCCCCAAAGGCTCTTGATTAACTAGTGGTAGTAGGTCCCATTTAGGTTTATAGTACTATAGACATTTTCAAAGCTTATTTTGATGCAGCTAAGATAGTAAGTTAGGTTTTGTGGTGCCTGGGAAGGCCTGGTAATACAGCACCAGAGCAGGAACCTACAACATCAGCAGCCAAAGCACTCCACTGCTAAGCTGTACTTGCAACTTTGATCAAGCCTTTAGAAGCACAAAAAAGCAGGTCAGTGTTCTGTAGCATACATGAATATGCCAATCTAGGATGTTTAGGATGCTCCTGATGTTTCACCAGTTGAGTTTACTAAATCCTGGTGCTTACTAGAACTGGAAGCCTGCCTTGGCTCCTCAAAGGGAATAAGAGAAAGGGAATCCTCTGTACATGAGTAGGATGAGACTCACCTGAACTTGCTTGTGGAGTTTGCTGCATTTGTCTGTCAAAACCTGTAGCTGGAGACGGCTCTGTGCAGATTCCAGCTCTGCCTGTCTCCGCAACATTTGCTCCTTTTTTAGGGAGCTGGAAGAGCAAGAGAAAAGGAATCCTTAGGACTAGGTATTACCTAGGATGTTTCTCTTAGCTGTCAACCCTGATCTTCAGGTTTTATCCCCAGAACAAGTCCTGTTCAGGTAAATTCAACAGTAAAAGACTATCTGGGACCACACTCGTCCAGTACATTCACCTTGAGATGTTCTCAGTTACACAATTGTACCAAATGACTCGCTCAAGATGTTCCATAGAAACAACAGCCTTTCTTCTCACTGTCTCCAAATGCACTAATTGAGTAGAGCAGAGGAAAAGAGAAACTGTGGGGTTTCCCCCCCCCCCAAAGAAACAGTTTAACAAATCCTATACTATCAGTGCCCATTAAATATAGCATGCCAGTAATAAAGCAAGTCATAACACAGCAAGATCCATAAGCTTGTTTCTACTACCAGTAGCTAATTTCACATTCGGGAAAATAGACCTCTATCAGAATTAAACAGACAAATTACCTGTGAATGCCCACACAGAAGCCATACTTACTACCTCATCTTTAGCCTAGAAGTGCATACACACCACTTAGCAGCAGCAGTTTTGATAACATACATCAGTATTTCATACAGGTTTTACATAGGTCTGTAATGTTGACCACTGCATTCTGCACTTCAGATGCTGCAATATTCCAGTTATTTCAGTAAAACATGTACAGGGAGATCTAGCTTGCCTAAGTGCCTTCTAAATATACAGACCTAGCCTTGCACGTTCACCAGGCAGAGAATTTTGTCATTTCCCTGTAGCTTCATGCAATTTTTACTTTTGCTGCAGAAGAAATAGGTAAGATGCTGTATTTAACTATCACATTCTTTACGTAAGTCCCCAGAGCCTGAAGGCTGGCTTTTCTGAACGTGAAGAAAAAAACCCCCATGATCCTGTGCCTAATTCAAGTCTGTGAGCAAACACTATTGATGCATGTATGCAGAGTTCACTTTTGTCCTCCACTCATGGCTGTATGCGACAAAGCAGCCACTGCCAGCAGCTTCTCTAGACTGGCAGGCAGTCAAAAACAGGAAGCAGAGGAGGTGCAGAGCTGCAGCAAGACTAAGACACAAGATACAAGAAGCAGTTAGACAACTGCTTCTCCATGAGAAGCAAGATTTAAAAACCCGAATGCTTTCAAAAAAAAAAAAAAAATCTTATCATTTGTTTTCCACTGTCAATCCAGTAAAAGAACCCCTTTTAAGAGTTCAAACACCATCAGGCAGTGGCAATCTGTACAAAAGAGGTATTTTTCCCTTTGTGACAGTTACTCCTTGATCATTTCTGACCAATAATGACCAGGATAGTGAGGTTTCTGTTGGAAGACTGCACTGAAAGAACAGCAGTGAAGTTGACCCCAAGTAAATTCTATTCACTCCACAATTCAGGAGAAGTGATATTCAGAGTTTTTTTATTTCAGAATAGTATCTGACAGCATCTTACTAAAAAGAAATCAGTCCCCATTTTCATACCTGCTTTTTTTTTTCTCCCCCCAATAAAAAGTCTGCATTTCAGCTGAAGAGGTAAGCAGAGTCATAGTAATGCTTGCTTTCATAAATAAAGGTACATGAAGAGTTTGACAAAGTGAGATGGAAAGTGATTCATATGAGAGATTACTGTTTAATGTGTGTAGGAAAGGTCAGCTCTTCAACCCCCTTGCATGTATAACTATGCCTCGGTCATGGTTCAAGCCCAGCCAGCAACCTGGACCCCCGCAGTCGCTCGCTCACTCTCTCCCCTTTTCCCTCCTCCCCCCGCTCCCAGAGGGATGGGGAGGAGAATCAGAGGAATGTAACTCCCACGGGTTGAGATACCAGCACTCCAGTAACTAAGGTATAATACAAACCACTACTGCTACCAATAAATAATGTAAGAGGAATAACAAGGGGAGAGGACACAACCGCTCACCACCCGCCGACCGACAGCCAGCTCGACCCGAGCAGTGATCTGGGCCTTCTGGGTAACTCCCCCCAGTTTATATACTGGGCATGACATGCTGTGGTATGGAATACCCCTTTGGCCAGTTTGGGTCAGGTGTACTGTCTCCGCTTCCTCACGGCTTCCCCTCCTCCCTGGCAGAGCATGAGACTGAGAAAGTCCTTGGTCAGAGTAAACATTACTTAGCAACAACTAAAACCATCGGTGCTATCAGCGTTGTTCCCAGGCTGAAAGTCAAAACCACAGCATTGCACGAGCTACTAAGAAGGAGAAAAAATGACTCCTGTAGCTGAACCCAGGACAGCCTCACTTCTCTAATGATGAATTAGAAACAAAAAGCTTTTTGGCAACAACTCCACATGTTCTGCCATGATGACATTTCAGGGTACAGATAGTTTTTGCTGTTTCAGTGCTGCAAAGCTCAAACTCAAGCACTCTGTTCCAAAAGAAAACTCTCCTTCCAGGCAAGACACATGCAACACAGAAAGGCCTTGCATTGTGAAGTCAGCCATGCTTATGGTAGTTCCCAAGGGAGTGCATAAACTGCTTTAGATATTACAGGAAATTAAAGCACAAAGTAGAAGCTGGGCTGCAGCTTTCAGTGGCAGACAGGCAGTGAGGATGTATCTTTACGTGGAGACTGCTTACCTTTTCATCCATTCTTGCTCACTGGTATCCAGCGCTTTCAGAGTGCGAGCATACAGGATCACAATGTCAGAAGATTTTGCTTTCTTGTTGCACTGAAATGAAAAGACAAGTTCAGGTCATCTACAAGAATTACAAGTCTTCCAATACCTAAAGGGGCTACAAGAAACCTGGAGAGGGGCTTTTGACAAGGGCCCTCTCAGGTGCAGGACAAGGGACAATGGCTTTAACTGACAGAGGTGAGACTGAAATGAGATCTTAGGAAGAAGTTCTTCCCTGTGAGGATGCTGAGGCGCTGGAGCAGGTTGCCCAGCAAAGCTGTGGCTGCCCCATCCCTGGCAGTGTTCAAGGCCAACTTGGAAGGGGCTTGGAGCAACCTGCTCTATTGGAAGATGTCCCTGCCCATGGCAGGGGTTTGGAACTGGATGAGCTTTAAGGTCCCTTCAACCCTAAACCATTCAAGGATTTCAATTTAACTATCCAAACCACACATCCCTACAAGTTTATAGGTATTATTTTGAAAAATCTTTCTAACTTCGAAAGAAGGGGTTGTCTACTTGAAAACAAATCCATAAAACCACAAACATTAACACGAAGAACAAAAGCATGTTCTTTCCCTCATGACACCAGAGCTCTAATCACAGCTACAACTGTAGTTTAGGTCATGTACCCTATTGCACCTTTAGTAATGCATATCCTTGCTTCCCACTAAATTTATCCTGATAAAGCAGCACAGTCAGGTGAGCTCCAGGGACAACAGGATCAGACAAAGTAGGAGAAGAAAGAGCTAAACCAAATCCAGCCCAACCTGTGTTTTGAAAACATTAAGACTGGCTGCTTGGCCAACAGATGAGGATTTAGGAACACCTGAGTACACTCCCAACGCTGCTATTTACATGCTATATTCCTTTAATCAAATCCTACAGCACCAAATCTGTAACAGCATTCCAGTGTCTGTATGAAATACTGACATCCCACTGATTTCAGTGATGCACAGGGAGTCACCTATTCCTATAATCTTGTGCATCTGGCTGTGACCATTTAGTACTTTAGAGTCACCCAAAAAAGAAGGGATATTACTTCCCCCCACACACACACCCCCTGTCCATGAGTTGGGACTTGGAGGAAATTACAGCATCTGCAAGCTTACTGTTTTGCAAACATACGTTGTTGATCAGAAAAGAGGCAGGAAATACTCAGATCAAGTAACCTCTGCCAAACATGAAATTACTACGTGCGCTTAAAATGAAGACTTCTCTATGGTTTAGTGGCACAAAGATATCACAGGCAAGAGTTTTAGATCAGACAACCCCCCTTCTTTAGTCAAGAAATGCCTTGCAGAGCAGTGAGTGGCTAAGACAGCTTTCCTGGCAGCTAGCAGCTGTCACTGACAGGATTGGGAATGCCGCAATTACACAGTAACTCGCACTCCAGCCATTTTGTATACAGAGCACCATACACAGCAACTCTGTGCCATTGAACAGAGAATGCTCCATCACAAAGGACAGCAACTGAAAATGAAGGGAAGATGATTTAGCTGCAAGGTTCTCCCCAGAGCAAGTTTTCCTAGGAACTTTTCAGTATTTGCATCACTGAAAGAAAGAGAGGGAATAAGCACGCCTTAGGAGTTGGTAGGGTTCAAGAAGAAAGCAGTCACAAAATTCCAAAGAGCAAAGATGCCACAAAGGTCTGAGAATTCTGTCTGGGTCTGGAGTGAGTGGGGAAAAAAAAAAAAAAAAAAAAGCTTACACAGAATTGACAAGGGTAAGGAAAATAAGGTTTAGGCCTTTTCTATGGCAACAGTTAATCTTCAGGTTTAATCACAGTGCACATCAACAGGAGGTTTCTTGTTAAGAGAAGGGAATCCTGCACAAAGTCAAGCAGGGCTATTGAAGCTCCCAAAATGACAAAGCCAAAGAAATCTGGGCTTCCAGCCACCAACTTGGAAAGCAGCAGAACTGTTTCCAGTACCTGTTTTCAAGACCTGATTTTTATCAATATTCTTTTCTGGAGAGAAGGGATGAGGAATGGGCACAGAGAAGTGCAGACCTAATCAAGAGATCAGTATCACCCATTGAAACAAAGCTGAAAAGAACACCTTAAAAAAGCAGATATACCTCTTGCAGATGAACATTACTTGTTTCTCAGTTCATTCTCTGCAACCTACCCCAACAACCTGATCTGCTTAAAGGCTGCAAAAGCAGATTCAGTTCAGATCACAGGGTTAACCAGCTGAAAACAGTTCTCAAACAGTTTCCTTGTCCAGTACCATATTCTTTATGCTCAGTTCATTGTTCTAGGAATCTGCCACTTCCACAACCCAAGACAACAGTGCAGTGTCATGAAAGCATTTACAGGTTTAGCACTGGAACTCTCAAACTTCCAAGTCTGCTACTTACAAATGCTCTACGTTAGGGAGAAAATCCAAGTCAGCATTATCTCTTTAAAGCAGTACTAGTTGTTCTTGGCCCAGTTACATCAAAATTATGTTGATTTTTTGTTCTTTCTGACAGTAAGCAAAGGTGGATACTTCATGCAGCAAGCAGTTCTAACAGTTATGGTGACTACACCTGCAGCAACAGTTAACCCAACAGCAAGTCCTTCCCAATGCACATAAATGTGCATTTTACCTGGGGACACTTCCCTTCCTGTCCCTTGAGCCACTTTTTGATGCATATATAGCCAAAGAGGTGTCCACACCGCAGTGCTGAGAGACGGTGGTCCCCACTGTTGGTCCACTGCTCAAAGCAGATGGCACAGGTGTCCCCTTCCTCCTCATCCAGTGGTGCAACAGGAACTGATGGCTCCGGTCCCTTTAGTGGAGCTCTCTAGGATTAAAAATCAAAACAAAACAGACACACAACTTTTAGACAAATGAGGCATTTACCATATTTAATCTGGCTCCAAAGACATTTAGGTCACCTTACCTGCTTTAGCTGGACTTCAGCCTCTTCACCTTCAGGACTTCTGTGTACTGCAGAAGCTTGAGACAATGCTTGAGGTGGCTCTCCTTGGATCTGACTGGAAGCTAAAGAAAGCATTGCTTGTATGAACCAATACATAATGGGGGGAAAAAAGTTCTTCTTGACTTGATCTGAAATCATTAGGGCATAAAGTAACCAGTGCAGTGATGGCACAGGTTACATACAGAGCTTCAGATCAGTGTCCTGGATACAAGAGGCTGGGCAGCCTGTGTGTAAGCCCCTCCACTTATCAACAATTGAGCTGAAGAACTTTGTTTTCTTTTATAAAAACCATCAGAATTTCAGTGAAAAAAAAAAAAAAAAAAAAAAGAGGTCTTTTGAATACAGTAATTGTTAATGGGACTTTGACATGCTTGAAACAAGCATATCTGCATACAGGTCTATAATTAAGGTTACACCCCTGCATCATTGTGCTCAGAGAAAGGCAACAATATGCAAAAATTATTTTTACAAGGGATCCAAGTGTGTGTATTTTATGTGCCAAGAAAGTATTTACCATATGCTATCTGTCCATTCACCCTGACTTAAGCACTTTTCCAACTGGTAGTTGTCTGAACTATCAGTTCTGCTGGGCCATACGTTTTTGGGGTGTCACACTGTTAGCCCTTCTGTTGAAGCATGGGCACGCGGAAACACTATGTTTGGACTACCACCACAAGCATACTGAAAAAGGAGCAGAAAACAGTCTCCCTCCATGTCCTGACAAAACAAGAGAGTTATTAGTCACATTTAGTGTTCAAGACAGATATTCTCAGTCCAGTAGAGACATATCACCTAGGTCTGGCTAATGTCGATAAAAATTTCAGCCTCCATGGCTCTGGGCTGGAGGGGAACCAGTGGCTTATATAAGCAAAAAAAATGACAAGGGAATTCCAGAAAACCCAACAGAGAGCATATGGTCACACAACATTAGACAGCACTGAACAGCTTGAGCTCCTGTCACGTGTAAGACTAGCTCAGAGCAAGCAGAATGAGTCTGTTCAAAAGACACCTCATAGACGTACCCTCAAAAACAGATGTTGAGGTGGGCAAAACCAAAACTAAGGGCAGAGAGTGAAGTATAAGGGCATTCCTTAGAGACTGAAGCAAAAAACCAAAACAAACCAACCCACTAATCTTGTTCTCTCTGGGCATCGACAACTTTGACTAGCAAGTTAATTTTTCAGTCTTATATAAAACTGTGTATGTTCAGGACAAACAATGTCACTAACTGTGTAGCAGCCTGTGAACATGCATTCAGATAAAGGACTGTGAGCCAGAAAAAGCCAAGGAAACACAGACAAACAAAAAGCCCACTGCCCTAAGCACCTCTATCTCCTCAGCTGTATGTCAGGAGAAATTACAGGAATGAAAAGAAACTCTAAACTGAAGACCAAAATCCCAAATAATGAAAAATACTCGGATCCTTCTCTGAAAGCATTGCTGATTTCCAAGCTGTAACCTAGTGTCTTCGGCAAGACTACTTGATAAGATATAATAGCAAAAGCAGGGTAAGTAATTAAATTTAAACTTATTCTGAATATTTACAGGATTACTTGTAAGTAGCATCCTGCAAATAGCAAAAGATTGTATTTAACATTATAGTAGCAATCACCCATTGCTGCTACTGCTCTTGGAACTCTTGCCAGAAAGCCTTGTGGCAGCAACCTGCTCCCATCAGCTGTAGGCATAATGATCTTTCAACATCGTCTGTTGGGAAGCTCAAAAGGATTTCTCCACTGAGTTTTCAAACAGCAAGATGACTTTCCAAAAATCAGTGTCTACACAGCTCTAATATATCACAAACCTTCCAAGCTAGCTGTCAGAGGTGTCTCCTGGGCTGATGGTAACAGCGGTGCTGCAGCCCCCAGCACTTCCTCTTCCTCCTCCTCAGTAGAAGTGCTGCTGTGAGTCTCACTTATTTCTATTGTTTCATCTGAGCTGTGTTCCTGGCTGTCCCCTGCAATATGCAGAGGCTCCATATGCAGAACTGGCTCTGCAGCTGGCTGTTGGGTCCTGCTGAGTTGAAAGTAACTGTCCAGGGCTGCCCTGAGTTCAGAAAAGAAAGAAACAAAAGCCGCAGTTATTTCAGGGAAGGTAAAGACTCCACATGTTTCTCCATGCTTGCTTGTGGTTAAAATTCCTAGGTTCTGGCTACAATAGGAAGGTATCAAAGTTAAAGACAGACATTCTCTGTTAGAGGGGCAATCCAAATCAATCACCTGCTTTATGGACAATCAGCAGTATCATACAGCAGCCACTCATTTTGCTCAGCTCAAAGAAAATATCCTTATTACAACAACAATACTGTCTTCTTTTGGGGTGGTGTGGGTTGGAGAGAAAAAAAGCAAAGAAGTATTGTTTGCTAATAGCCTAAGGAACTCCTAATCAATGCCTCCAATCCTAACTCACACCTGGTTCCCACAGTCACTAGTAATATTAAATGTATAAGACTTGTATCAGAGTTTGATTCCATTGACTACTTTGTGCCTAGTCTGTCTGCTTTCTTCTCTTATTTTCTATCCATTCCTGGATTGAAACACCCTCCTCTCTCCCCCAGCAGTTCAGCTATAATCTCAATTATACATCAGATTCAAAAGAAGTTTTTCAGGTTGCCTTCTAGCTTTGAGAACTAGTGACCTTCATACAAAATCAGAGGGCAAACAGCAGTGTTATGATCAATCATCTGGGAGAAGATGAGTTCTTGGTCTCCCTGAATTTAAAGGCAATGCTCCAGTTAATTAGTATTTCACCTTTGGCATTTACAAAAGCTACAAAAATGAGGCAAAACCCAAACAAACCAGAAATGGAAGTTTCCTACTGGCTGCAGAGCATCTGCACTCATCAACCTTTACACCCATCACAGATGGTATTAAACACTATTTTTTCTTTGCCTGGAGGTAACAAAAAATAACCCACTCCAGGAAAACATTAGTTTATATGTTTGGGAAAGCTTTTGCTGCAGTTGCCACCAGAAAATGTAATCAGGCAGTTCCCAAATCAAAGGTGAAATGCAAAACAGCACAAGCTCCTCTGTGCTGGCTGGAACTGCCAAGAGTCAGCACTGCTGCAGGAAGCACCAACAGGAATCTGGCAGAGCAGAGGGAACAGTGGGAGCAGCAACTCTGCAAGCAAGATGGAAAGTGCAGAAAGGCCCAGAAGTCAACACAAGAAACAGGGAGGATTCACTTAACACAAACAAAGATCCTTCCAGAAGAGGTCAGAAAGTGCTGTGCTATTCTTGAGCTTAAAAAGTATATGAGGTGCCCAGAATTTTGCTACAGCCATACACCTGGACTGAGCTGGACTTTGTAAGCCAGGAACCAAGGCAGTTTTAAACAATGCGAGACTTGACAGGTGTGTGTTCAGACCCGATTTCATCTCTGCTTTACCTGGCACTGATTGTCCTCTGGGAACCACCAACTCGCTGTTGGCTGCGACTTCTCCTCACCCACAGATGCATGACCTGTTCCCCTTGCAGCCTTTGGAGTATACTGGGAGCTGTGACAGGACTCAGCTGTGGGTCAGGCTCAGCAGCTGCTTCCTCTGTACCAGCATTTGGTATGACAATAGTGTCATCAGACTCTGTCTCCTCCTTCACTGAGCACCGGTACATGGGATGACAGCACAGCATGACCAGAGGGTTCTGTGGAAAGTGTGTTGAGGTTCTCTGCAGAAGAACCAGCCCCTGCTTGGAAATCAAGTTCCATCTCTTCTTGAGCCATTTCTGCAAAAAGTAGAAGAAAAACAGTATTTATTTGCAAGTGTGCACTCAGCTTCCAGCCTGATGGTAACAAGAATCAGCAGTGAGTGACTATAAAGCCTTTAGAACTCAGACTCAGGAGAAGACTTTGTCTCTTTGCTGCAGAGCTAAACCATCTCAAGTTGACACATGTACATGAGCGGGCACAGAAGGCAGAAGTCTTTGGCTTAACAGCAGCCAGCACAAAGGCACACCACAAAAGTCAACTTAAGTAAGCCTTTGGATGAACATGAAAAGTTAAGGATTTCTTGCTGGTATAATTTGTCAGTAAATTCATGTGGAGAACAGAGTTTGGAAGTAATGAGAGACTCTCCATTGTGAGCAGCACTGCACAAACACCCACAAAGACAGCCAGAAACAAGCTCTACAATGCAGTCCTTTGTTGCATTGCTCTCAGGGTATATTTTCAAGTTTCTGTGAATAAGATTCTGTATAACAGAGCAGTGCGACCTATACCCATAGCTCACTTCACAGGCCCTTCGGGTACCTTATATTCACCAATACTACACAAACCCAGAAAGAATATCACAGCAGAACCCACATCCAGGATGTCACAGGCAACAAGTTTTCTACAGCACCAGCATTTGCAGGTCCATATTCAGCCCAAGACTGAATCTGGACCCACAAATCCTGCAGATAAACAGGAAATTTGCAGTAAAACCTCACATACATTATTTAAGGATGGATGCCTGCAAACACCTTTGGGATAAAGATTTCAGGTTACCTCCTATATAGAAGTACTACCTTAGGTTTTGAAGAAATAAAGAGGAGACAACAGTATGTGCACTGCTAATTATTATGCTGCTATCCAGTGCCAAAGTAGAGCACTCTAGTCACCCTGTTCTACAGGCACTCTCACAAAAGTTCAAGATTTAATAAATTGGATAAATGTGTAAAAGAATAAAACAGTGCTTTTCTGGAGAGGATACATGGATTACATTTCACAAGCTGCTGAAAGACATTTCACATTCTCCAAAAAACACTTAGACAATCACAAACCTGAAAGGTCTCGGGAATTGAGGACCTTTACCATCACTGAAGAATCCAAAGCACACACTGAGATTTATTAGGCTAGGTACTGTGCAAACAGAGCAAAGACTGCTTTGAGTACAAAGAATACCCAGAAAAATGTATACAAGAATTACTAGAAAGACTTATTTGAGCATTACTAGCAATGCTCAAATGTTTTTATAGACCTCTTAAGAAATTCTAACTTAAGAATCATTTTATAATTCTTATCCTAATTAGCAATTCAGCCTACTTTAGGCCAAACGCAGATGTTAAATGTCATTTCCCAGCAGAACAGTCATATAGTCCAGATACAATAATCTCAATGTTCAAGTATTGCTTCTCCAGCATTAAACTCACATTTATGATAAACTTGTCACCTATAAGCACAACAGAATCTTTATTTTTCCCTGTAAATTAACTGCGAGACTGGAAAACACTGCCCACATTCACCACTGTGGGTTGACTAGCCCTGCATATTTCTTAATACACAGCATCTCCAATGTAACATCTTGGGAGTCTTCCTGAAGGGGGCAAGGGCCAGCGCTTCCTCCAGCCAGGATTCCAGTGGTCCCTGGAAGAGCCGCAGATGGAAGGTCTCCATCAACAGACTCGTCTGGCCCAGACGACCAACGCCGCAGCGCTTCCAGCAGACAGAGCCAGGAGGCTCCACAGACCGCCTGCAGCACTGACCTGACGGTCGAACGCGGAAGCACCAGCTTCCCCTTGTGGAGTGCCTCCTCTCCTGCTCAGGCAAACCCAAAACCTGCTATACATCTCCAGGCGTTATAACGCTGCGCCTGCTTTAACATAGTTAACAAAAAAGACCGAAACACAACTCAAAACTCCGCACACGCTCCACAAGCACCGGTTTATTTCTGGCTTCTTACAGGATTCGCTTGCTTTAAC